TAAAAAAAATTATAATATTAATTTATATCTATAGAACAATCAACATAAACAAATATATTATTAATCTATATTAAAAACATAATAAAATTTACTAATAATTTATTTTATACAATTTAATTTATTTTTAATATGGAGTAGTTATTATATGAATTATTATATAAAATAAAATAATGTGAATCACATTTAAATGCATTTTGTTAGGTCCATTTTGCTAGATTATAACTAGAAATAAGAACAGTTCTATTAATTTAAAACATAAGAGTATTAAGTAAATTCATACTAATAAGCATGTAATGTTGATCAATTTAAAAATTTTTTGACTGGTTATCAAAAAATATGGCCTATTACTATCTTTAATTTAGTTTTAAACTAACTTTTTGAAACTGATTTGTAGTCATTCTGATTCAATTATTAAATTGGTTAAAATGATTTGTAACTTAAGAAAACTCAGTATATGCTGAATTTATAATCAGTTTTAGAACTCACTCATTTTGAACTATCCTATTCCTATTCATGATTCATATAGTCTCTGGTAAAAAAAATGGCAGTAGAAATATCACATCTATTTTAGATTATAGTGTAACTGCATCTTTGATTTAGACTATTGTTTATATAATCAAATTGGACATCAGTATTTTAATTTAAAAGGTAAGTTAAAAAAAAGGATTTGTTATTATTTTTGTTTAATTTCATCTCTGAAAAATATCAAACTTCTTTGAAATATAATAAAACTCCATTAAGTCCCTCTGGGACTAAAACATACGTAATGCAAAGAAAATTCATAAACGATTATGCATTCCTTTATGCATATATGAACGATATGTCAGTTTGCTATATAAAACTAGTAATATTACTATCAGTCATTCTTCTGACCATTTAAGAAAATTGTTCTTGAACTAATGCTACTATATTTGAAATAGTTTTACAATACAATCATTTCACGACGGTGGTTGAACTAAAGACTAATTGAAAAAAAAGATTCTGAGCTTGAGGTCAGTGAACATACAATTAGTTGTGATTTAAAAATCTTAGTTACATCTCTATTCTTCTATAAAAAGTGTCTCTCTTGACTCAGAGAGTAAAGGATGTTCATTTGTCTTAGACATATGAATACTTGCATTACAACTAAAGATGGCGTCTCAATTAGTTGTAACAGGTAACAAATAAGCATTACAATATTGCAACAAATTGCAACATTATTAAAATTTAAGTTGCAACAGGTGACAAATAAGTGTTACAATGTTGCAATGTCATCTTTAGTTACAACTGAAAGAAAGTTATTTTTTCTGATGAAATAACACTCTAAATATTTAGCAACACCATTCATGTATAGTCTCATAATACTCAACCAGTTGCTCCTATAATAAAATATCTATTTAAGGTCCACGTTTGAGTGGTGATTAGCATAAAGGAAAAGTCAGAATTCATCTGTTCACAGAAAATTAAAATCATTATTTGTACTGGAGAAACTTAGATAATTATTTGTATAACAATGCAACTATATTACACAGTTATAATTGGATCTTTCAATAGAATAATGACCTAAAACATAAATCATGAAATATTTAACGTGACTTAGAAGAATATCTTTTAAAACAGGTTCTTTCTTAGCCTTCATATAGCCCAGATTTAAATCCTATTGAGAATGTATGAACTATTTTAAAGAAAAAAGTAGAGAGAAAGATTAAGAATTTAGTGGCAAAAAATAAAAAAAATCTCACAAGAGATTTTTCTTATCATAATCTGACAAGAATAGGATGATCTTGATAATAGCATATTACTTAGGTGTATTAAAAGCATGCCAAACCAGATTCAAGTATACATTGATACAAAAGGAAGTTATATAAAGTATTAATCATATAATGAAAAATATTGTATTAGTATTATTCTTTTAAATAACAAAAAAAAATACAATTAATAATAAAATATTTACATATCTTTAAAAAATATGTCTGCCATTCTTTTTATCAGAAACTATATAATCAATTTATCTTAAAGATACAATATAGATTAAACTAATTAGACGGATTAAATTCAAAAAGTTAAACCTTCAGATATTGATCATATAAAATAATGAAATCATGATCTATCATCACAAATAATTAATAAATTAATCTCTTGATTTTTAAAATATTTCTGAATATAAGTCACCAATAACATTTTAATTATTATACTGATATTCATATTTACTGATCACCATCAGATGTATTTCTAATAAGGAATCCAACTTGATGTATTGTATTTTCTACACTCTTGATCAGTTATTGAAATATATTTAATCTTTTTCTAAAGAAAATACAATAGTTATCTATTGATCTATTGATTTATTGATTGTAAAAAGTACATTTGGCTATCTCATTATGCATATCTCTTATTTTAATTGATAAAAGTTATTTGCTTTTAATATTTATAAAAACTTTTCAAAAAATCAAATAATTAATTAATTATTTTTAAGAGAGCAAAATGTTCCTCTAAATTATTTTTACTTTTTGAGAATTAGGCATTTAAAATAGATTGTATAAATAATCTAGGATACAACTGGATTACCTATAGCTAGGCTAGTTATCTGAGCAAGGTTGAAGCTAGGTTGTTGTAAGTAAAGGAAGAATTTTGTTATTTAATATTTTAAAAATAAGAATTTTAATCCTATGACTCCGATCACTATATAATCTTTATCGAGAATATTTATAGAAAATTTGTTTCAGAATATTATATGTTCTAAATAATTGCTTTTATCAATGCGTAATTGAATAATTGTTTAAACAAAATGCTTATTTTACCAATTTGATCTTGTTTTAAAAAATACAAACTTTTTTTATTTAAATTTTCAGTAATTTATTATACTTAAAAAATTAGATTATCATATTATTAATCATGTTCTGCTTATATAAAATCATAAAAAGAAATTTTTTTAACAGGATATTTTACTAGTTAATGATCTATATTAAATTCATTTTGAAATTTATACATTAATTTCTTAAAAAAAATAAAAAAAAAGAGTTTACTTGAATAAAGTAGTTTGAAATATATAGCATTTATTAGTTCATAATGAATGAAAAGCAATAGTTCATAAATGAATTACTTATAATGTAAATACGGAAATAAATCATAAAACTTAATAAGAAAAGGGAAGGATTTAATATATATTTTAAAGATTAAATATTACTTTAGTATAAATAAATAATAAAAAAAAAATATGATAAATTGAAATGTTATGATAATATAAAAATAAAAAGTAATATTAAATCAATTAATATTATTTTTATTTATTTGTAAATTATAAAGTAATTTCTCACCTAAAATAACTTTTTTTTTGATTAAGTTAGTTTAATTAAATGAAATACTATTAAAAAATCCATTTATACATGGATTATTTGTAGCTTACATAGGAAGGTTTACAATCTGATTCAACATTTCTTTATTATTAATAAGTTGAACATTAGCATTACATCTTCTATACTGAATTTATCTTCCTCTTTGATTAATAATTCTTGGAGATTGTGTCCAAAGTATTCTGCTATTATTAATAGAAGTGAAATTTGTAAAAGGTCTATTTTGAATCATTTTCAAATATTATGATTATGATTATTACTGGAAAATGTTTACAACTATCATACTTATACCTTAATTATATACAAAATTTGATATGATCTAATGTTGATTTGCAATTAGGATATTTGGATAAAATGTTTAGATTTTTGTTTGAAAGTCTTTGTTATATTATATATTAAGGATTTTTATTTGTCAATCAATAAAAAAAACTTTTTCTTCACTTTATAATGAATTGATCAGTTAATCACAGTAGACATATAACACAATAACGTAAATGATCATCAGTATCAGTATATTTTTATTTTTATCATCAACATGACAAAAAATTTTTTTTAGGTAAAAAAAAAATAAATTCTGATATTCTTTTCAAGTTATATCAAAGATAAACATTTCGGTAATTTAATGTTCAAAAAAAAAAATTATTCTGAATAAGGATATGATGTGCAAAGAAAATCAAAATTACGAAATTTCTTATTGGTTGAGTTTAACATCATACTTTAAACATTCTTGCATTTTTGAATTAATATTTTCCTGGCATCATAAATGGAAAATGAGAAATTCATTAAAAGATGATATTTCATTGACCCTGATTCATAATTTTTATTTTAAACAACAAAAGGATAGTTTCTTTTTATAAATCTTCGAAGCTAATCTAATTTTGTAAATATAATTATAAAACAGTTCTCTTAAAGTGTATTCAGTGATTGGAGCTCAAAAAAATTAACACTTTATAAAAGGATAAAAATGGTATTTAATACAGTAACGTGGAATTAACTTAATATTTGCAATAAGCAATATGATTGGTAAAATCACGATCATATCCAAATGGAAAAATGTTAATCATATTAATCAATTAAATTATATCAAAGCAACCCTTAAACACTTTATGTTGCATTTTTTTTATGAATTTGACAATTTGTTTTGAACCTTGAAGCCGTGATCCTTGACTGTGCCTTAATTAGTCTTGTGATCAAAATGATTAATAAAGTTAACGAAGTGGATAAATTAGACCTTATCAACTTGCTTTATTTTCTCACGCCTAATTTTTTTCTTTTTACATTTTTTTCTTTTTTATTTTTTTTATTATACATATAACTTTTACACAACTTCCAACACAAGAAGAATAAGCAATTTGCAAAAAGCTTCACTTATTTCAAATACTGAACGAAATACTTCTAAATGGTTAAGAGTTGTTGATCGTTTTAACAAAAGTTGTGGAATAACTAATTCTATTTAACAAATAGATTCTTTAGAAGATTTAGAAAATTATCTCTGTCAATTTATTATATGGTTGCAAAAAGAAGATGATTCTGGTTATAAGGTTGAATCTGTTCATAACTGTTATAGTGCATTGAAATAGATATCTTAAAGAACATAACATTCTTCAATAAATAAAAATTTGGGATCGTTACAAATTTTCTTATACTCTTCGTATGTTAGATGGAAAAATGAGAATCTTACAAAGCAAAGGTTTGGGTGATCCTGAAAAGTCTGATGAATTGTCTGCTAAAGAAATTAAACAAATACTTGATCATTCATATATAGAAATTAATTCAAATGAATCACTTACACGTCAAATTTTTTTCTAGTTATATTTATTGTGTGGATTATATGGTGGAAATACATATAGACTTTGTAGAAAAGATCTTGAATGTCGTCAGGATGGAGACCTAGAACTTATATTACATAAAGAAAAAAATAATCAGGGTGGTGCTTTTTTAGAAACAAACATGAAAAATCAGGTTCACGACATATTCTTATACCCTCTGATTCACCTGGTAATCAATATATACCTATAATAGATATTCTTTTATTTTTATCTAAATTATCACATTCAACTTAACCATAAGATCCTTTATTTCATAAAACATGTAAAAGTAAAAAAGGTATGTTATAATATATAGTATAATATGTTTATTATTCTTATAATTTAATTATTAATCATTTTTATATAAGATTTACGAAAGGGTAATTGGTTTAAAAATACTCCAATGGGCTATACAAAACTTAGAAAAATAATAAATGATATTGCAGCAAATACTGGAATTAATCTTGATAATGGACGTAAAATTACAAACTGTTCTTGTCATTGTACTGCAATTCAAATGTTGAAAAATAATGAGCTTTCTGATTCAGATTTACAGTACAATCATTTTCTGGTCATCTGACTTCCAACTCAAATATAGGATCAAGACAATCATAATCGGAATCTTGGTATATGATTCGATACCATTATTCAAAACTCCGGTATCATCGATCTCATCACCAGTTGTAAACGTTGCACGAGTACCAAACATAGGACATTTTATGAATTGATGTAGAAATATTTAGTACAACATCAAAATTTAGTTCTATAGAGTTCATTTTTAATTATAATAATAAATTTGAAAAATATTGACAGGTTAAAAAAAGAAATTAAAATGGTACTAGATAGTGATGATCACTTTTTAAAATTTAAAATAATTATTTGCTAACTTTACAAAGTAAGTTCATGATGATTTACTAATTAAGTAATAAGAAAAAATTTGTAGATCGATATTTCTTTTTTTTTTTATATTTCTTCATTTTATTTATTAAAGTTGATTATTATTATTATTATTATTTGGAACAAAAATTTAGGTAGTATCAATCTTATTAGTTCTAATTAGAGGTTGGAACCGGGCAAAAATTCTTTAACTGGTTAATAACCGTTAAAATATTCGTTAACCGGTTAATTAACCGATTCCAACCTCTAGTTCTAATAGGCCTCAACAAACGTCGACTGATCTATCTATTTTTTTTTTTTTTTTTAAAAAAAAAAAAAAAAACAAAAATAAAAAATAAAATTAAATAAAATTGAGAAAATAAAAAAATAAAGCATGATCTACAGTTCCAACTATAGATAATGCAGCA